AATCTTTTGAAGTTTCTGCGTTTTATACAATCGCAGAAGCATCTCTTACAGAACCTTTTTTTAGGTTCTGTACAGCAAAAAAGGTTCGGTAAGGAAATACGAAACCTTGAGGGTTCTGCACAAAACCATTAACCGTTGGTAAGTAACCCTAATGGTTCCGTACTGAACCCCAATCATTTTGTACAGAACCCTCAAGGTTTCGTATTTTCTCACGGAACCTTTTTTTGCTGTACAAAACCTAAAAAAAGGTTCCGCAAGAGATGGTTCTGCGATTGGATAAAACGCAGAACCTTCAAAAGGTTCTGTCGAATTTTTTATCCTTTTTTTGAGACTTTGGACACATTTTGAGCCTTTTAGAAATCTACAGAACATTTTCGGAGGGCTCTGCAAACCTCCTTTATTTTTTTCAGAGTACAATATACTTGAAAATTTGTTCTTTTCTTTCTCTATAGAATATTTAAATACTTATGTTGTATTTTGATATTATTCATAATCTTGATAAACATATACTAAATTACCATTTTTCTTCTGATACAAGTAACCTCTGATTTATACATTGACGTCGTTAGAAGTTTATATTATTAAGTGAAAATTCTTTTTTTTTTGTTTATTTTAAAAAAATAAAATCATTTTTCAGCTGAATAAATAATTGAAAGTTTTAAATAAATAAATTAGTTGCTTGCTGTGTTAGTATTTTATAAAAGTTTTATATGAATAGTTTTGATAAAATATCTGTAGACACAAGTTATAACACTTAGATATCATGTGATACAGTATGTATGAAGATAAACTGAAGAACTTGAGCAACTTCTTTTTCGGTCATGAAGTTTTTTAGATTATTTCAAATGATTATTTGCATCTACTAATATATGTATAAAAAATAGTGACGTTAATCTGCTTATGAATATTTGACATATGATAAATTTTTACAAAATGATCACAATAAGATATGAAATTTCTGTTTAAAAGATTCTTTGCGTTTTACAGTTATTAGCTAAATTAATTTTTCCTTCATTTATTAATTTTAAATCAATTTGTTAATACTAAAGAAATTTAACATTTTTTCTTGAATCAAATTAGATCAATAACGATGTTTTATACAATTTTGTTTTTCCTCCTATAAGTCGATTTTTCTTTATCAATTGCAGAGATTGTATTTTTAATGTATAAGATGTCCTTGCAAAATAAATGCAATATCGTTTCTCAACGAAATATGAATTATTCAGAGAGATGAATTATTTGTTCGTCATTTTCCTTTTTCGTATCTTAAGTATAACAATATCAATCATTTTATTTCATTAATGAAACAAAAATCATCGTGCTTTTAAATAAGGAAAGTAGGTTACAATTTGTTGAGAATATCCAATGTCCCTATCATAAATAAACAAGTCCTTCAATTTAGCACAATTGGCTCGTGTTGTATTTCTTGTAAAATTGTGTGTTACGCATCGTAAAGGTTCATATTTGACACAAAAGATAACGTTGTTCGGTAAACGCGTTTTTGTTTCATCTAAAAATTGTTCAATATAATCATTATGAACATTGAAAAGGATTAATTCGGTGAGATAAGGATACTTGATAATCGAATATTTTTGACTGTTTTCATCTTCTATTTTTTGACATTGTTTGTATTGTTGTGGTTCTTTGTTATTTAAAGATAATTTCGTAAGATATGGAAATGCTTGAACAATTCGGATAAAAAACTCATGCTCAAAAGGACGTTCGTCAAATAGTGATATCTCACGAACACATTTAAATAATCCGCTTGGAAAATTATTTGTGATATTTTTGTAATGTTTCATTGTATATGGATGCGAGTAAATATGACATCGACCATTATCTTGCTTTGGAAAATAATCAACACAAGAAATAACTCGATTATATTTGAAAGTTGAGAATGTATGAGAGATTTCTTCATTTGAAGGTAAATGAATTTGATTAAGAAAACAAATAGTTGACTGAATATTAAATATAAACTTATTTAATTGTGGTAAGTGATCGATAATATTCTTCTTTAAATCGTTTCCATCAATAAATTTTTTTTTAGGATAACCATCAATCATGAGGTACAAAGAAAGCCTTTCTAAATTTGACATTCGATGCAAAAGTGGTATGATGAATTTGTCGTAGTCGAGTGTCATAGAATCACTGATCAACGAAAACCATTTCAGATTAGGCAGTTTTTCCTACAAAAAATGAACAATATGAATACATTCGAGGAATCTGAGTCGACAGCTGATCATAACAAAAAAGTTTAAATATGTCTGTTCTATATCAACCAAATGAGCTTTTTTGTAGATGATAGACAAATGTTTGCAGATTTTATTCATAGAAGAAATGATAAGAAATGCTACATTAGATATTAGAATTTCTTTTAAGAAGGAAATGTGACCTTTTACGAATTTTGAAAAGTACTATGTACATACATGACAACTTTCAGTTATAATAGACTTTGTTTGATCTAAAATATGTTATGATAAGAATATCTCTCTAGAAATCGAAACAGAGAAGAGACTAATTTGTGAAAACTTGCTGAAATTCTGAGAACATACTTATTTAAAGTAACTTCTAGATACAAATGTTATTGTATTATTTCAAAAACGGCAGATGGATAGTTTTAATTGTTAAAGCCAATTATTATACGTTAACGCAGTATTGATTGTTGTTTCTCTCATCACTAAGAACTTTACACATTCTATCATTAACAAAAAAAAAGAAACGTATCATTTGGTTAAAATAGAACGCAGATGTCAAAAATCTTTTAGTGTGACCCACATTTAAGTCATGTCGCCTCGAATGTTTTTAACGAATATAAATCGAAAACCGAATTGATTTATTATTTAATCGATTAAAAATGTCTGTCAAAATTCAAATACCTGTTTACTGATGATTACTGTTGAAGTATAACGAGAAATCATATCAATATTAACATAAAATTTTTCAAGTTGACTGAAACGACCATCCAGGATACAAAGACAATGATCGATAGCTTTAACATTCATATGCAGTTCCCTTAGAATTGTAGATGAAAAATTTTGATTGACCTGATAATTAAATGTGATAGGTTCAACCTCCATACAGTAACATGGATCAAAATTTAAACAACGTAAATTAGTAAAAACATTTAAGACACATGAAAACATATTTAGTTTTGAATCTTCGAAGAAAAATTGTTTTTGACTTATTTTGAGAATAAGTGTCGAAATTTGAGTTTTCAAAATGTGAGCTAATGATGGTTCATCTAAATACATAAAAAACAATTAAGAAATAAACGCATTAATACTCATATTGATTTAACTATAATAATCTGTCTAGTAGTTGTTTTTCCGCCTTTTATTCAATTTTTGAACAAATATAAACTTCTTCGAAATTATATCATGGATTACGCAATATAATAGATGGTCCATACTACAACTTAACATATCTCTTGTTTACTTTATTAGAAATTCCCTTCTACACAAACCTATCAAAAGAGAATCAAATAAAATAATATTCATTCAGTAAGTTTTGTAAAACAGCCTAAAACTGAAGTATAATGATTGAAATTTAGATCTCCTTTCACTCCAGTAACTGTAACAGACATTATCATGAATACGTCACAGACCGTAATTGATCCATTAGCAACATCCTACTCAATAATAGACCGCAACAGACATCATATTATTTCTTCACTCACAATATAAGTAACCAGATCGATTCTGTTTCATACGATAATCGGAAAGGAATTGCAAAAGTTTTTCTTAGTTGTATAAATATTTATGTTTCTACCATATATTCTCTGTATTTCTATATGTTGTTAGATTTTTTCTTTCATGCATATCTCAGTTCGAATACTTCATTCTTACTTGCGTTTCATGATCAGCTGTCAAGAAAACATAAGATAATGTTTGCGAAACAAATATTCTTAACGATTTAAATGATTAAAATAAAGAATTCAATGAACTTAATTCTTGATCATATTTATATATTTATTCTGTTGTCATGATTAAAATAAGCAAAATAAAACTTTTTACCTGTAAAGAGACGTTCAATTGTGTGTTTTTTTACGTTATAAAGACCAAGTCCATATAAATTAGGATATTCATTTGAAAGAAGAATACGTTTCATAGACGATGCTTCAATATTGAGCCATTGAATTTTATGATGAATTTGAGGCAATATTTGTAAGCAAAACCGATTAATTGTTTTTTTACGCATTGGATAAATATCATCATTCGATGAACATCTCATTAATGTTAAATGATTTGTGAACGTTGGATCTTGCAAAATTCTATCGATTCGTCTATTGAATCCAAACAACAATTGCAATGCTAACACATTTTTCATACTCTTAAAAACCATCAAAAGTAATTCATCAGGCAGATCGATTAATTGCATAAATGGCTGTTCCATTTTGCTTTTTAAATATCAATCATTCTAATTCTATGTCAATAAGCAACCTTATATATATGTATATATATATACGCTTGTTGTATTGTGACCGATCATATTGATGAAAACAATGATGTATTTTCATATTGAATAAATCGACGACGAGAGAATAGACGGGAAAATGATCTTTCCTTTTTTTTCAGTCAGAAAAAAAGAATGGATGGAAAAAGACAGAAAGGAAAAATATCGAAGAAAAATATGCCAAAAAGAAAAATAACGAAAAAAAGATGTCAAATGGAAAAAGATCGAAAAGAAAAAATATCGAATATGAAAAATATAACGAAAAAGATTAATTGTAAGAGATCGCTTGAATACGACAATTGGAAAGCCCTTTTTGGGATGTCAATGTAGTCGTCAATGTAGGATTTTGGGTTTGAGTTTAGATTCATGTGTGCATGTAGTTATAGACGAAGACAAGACTCAGTCACATCTGATGGATTATCTTATGTTGATGTTAAAAATATTCCAAAACAATTTGGTGAATCATGATCATGACATAAGAAAGGTTAGCAGCGGATTCGAGTTTTTTCTGCTGATATGCGCTCCTAGACTTGGGTTGAGTCTCTAATTGCTTGAGCTAGATGCAGAATTCAATTCTTTACGGAACACTGACATTTTCATGGGCGAGCATCGAGTAAAAACTAGGGGTTTCGGTTGAGAGTTTGGGAATGTGGGTTTGGTTATAGGTGTATAGAGTAACACCACACTCACACTCTTACAAATTTCTCTATCCTTTTTCTATATTCAATAAATTTTTTATCGATGCAATAGGTTATTATAATGAAAATGTACTCTTAATTCAACATTTTTGTTTTCGACATTTTTCTCTTTGGATATTTTTCTTTCGGTGTTTTTCGTTCGATATTTTTCTTTTCGACAAATTTTTCCTTCCGACATTTTTCTTTTCGTTCTTTTTCCATCATACCGAAAAAAAAATATCAATTAATGATTCTGAGTTAATATCTTACGGAAATAATATGGTGTTATTCTTTATCACGAAGACATACTTATAAACAAAATATGCTTGCTGATTTAGATTAAGCTCTTCTCATAATATCTGTAAAACCCTTTATCATTAGCATATTTCCGATAAATATTCATCGATTCTGCGAAATATTGAGTTTTAGTTTCAGTAATCAATAAAACATGAATGATGTCAATAAATGTGTCATTGATCGTGTTAATTTGTACGGATGTTACTGCTGATGATCGTCTTATTGAAGTCGCTCAATCAGCTATTTATTAATGGAATGGTGTTGCTTTAACAAAAACAAATCGAATATTTACTTCATTTCTTCGAGCAATCGATAATTTGACAATATCTATTGCTGAACTCTTACCTAATAATAGTCTTCAACCTTTTCCTGGTGGTAATTGGAATACATTTAATCCTCAAAATTCATAGGAGAATCTTTAAAAACGTTTTGTTAATGTAAATTCTGTTTCAACCGATTCAAATAATAATCTTTGGATTGTTGATAGTGGAATGGTTGGAAATAGAACATTCACAAATTGTTCAAAACTTGTTAAAATTAATCTTAAAAATAATAGTGTTGAACAAATTTATTCAATTTCTAGTTTAAATCCATCTGCAGGATTTGCTTCAAATGATGTTCAAATTGGTTCACGATATGCATTTTTAACTGAATCTGATCTTGGATCAATAGTTATTATTAATTTAGGAAATGGTTAAGAACGTCATGTACTTGATGAAGATCCATCAACTAAATTTGCTGATCCAACTATTGTTCGAATGGAAGGATGAGTTGTTTTAGATGAAAAAGGTCAACCAAAATGAATGCCGAATAATAATCTTGAATTAACAACTGATGAAAAAATTCTTTATTATAAACTATCATTTTCTTTTAATTGGTTTCAAATTTCAACTGATCATTTATTAAATGAATCAATAAATGCAACTGAACTTGGTCAAAAGGTTTCTATTAGTTGGAAAACAATGCCAACTAGTGGAACAACAATGGATGAGAATAGTTTTATTTATTTAATGGTTTTAGACAGACAAGCTATTTGGCAACAAAACATTATTGATGGTTCATGCAAAAATAATTGTACGTGACGAAAGAATTATTTGGAGTGATGCTTCTGATGTTAGTACTGATGGATTTCTATAGGTATCTATGTCACAAAATAGTCGAATTTCATCGTTTAATAATGGAACAAATCAAGTTAAAAGAACCTTTTCCAATGTATAAAATTATAATCACTTCCGATTCATCTATCATTACATTTAATTTTATTTTTTTATTCTTTTTCTGATAATTTTTTTCAATAATGATCTATTCAAATAAGTTTATATTTATGTGTTCATTGGAATTTTCTAGTCAACTAACATATACCTTTTATGTGTGTGATCACGAAGGGAATTAACTTATTTGCTCTAGCAGATATAACAAAAATTTCGATAATAATAGTTGTTTGCGAATACTCAAAAGTGCAAGATATTAAATTAGACTGTATATTCTGAACGTAGCCAGTTAAAAATGAAAAAAATAGAGGGAAACGATTTTCGTTTAATGACTATGTGCTCATTTATGAAAACTTGTAAATTCATTTGTTTATCTCTCAATTGGTGGCGTAATCAGCTGGGACTAGATCGAATAGCGATTAATTCAACAATCTACAAGAAAAACAAATTTTATTTAAAAAAAATAAAAACAAATCGAATGCAAAATATTCACGTTCGTTTTCAATTCTATCTTAGTCTTGTCTTGATCTACAGTCGAATGAAAATCCTATAGTTTATTTGTAAAAATGCTGTGCTTTGTCATATTAGCAGTGACTGCTAGATTGTAGTACGATATACAAATTACTCTGTTAATCATGCATGTTCTTGGTGGCACGTAAAGAAAGTCTTTGAAGAATGAATTAAAAAGATAAATATTTTCATTGAAATTCAATCAATAGATGAAGGAGCGAAATATATTATTATTGAACTGCTTTTCGATCCATCTTTGAGCGAAAACATGAAAAAGTTAAACATTCTGCGTCTACTAATGTTGAATTTCTATAAATAATAGAATCAATTAAAAATGCTTGCTATTTATTTCTTAAAAATGATTATAAAAAAAAGTTTTTTCATTGTTCAGCTTCATCAGGAATAACAACTGGTGTATTTGCAATATACGATTCATCATTATCATTAGCATGACTTGTTGAATTTGGTGGAGGAATAACAATACGTTCGTCACGAAAAATGTTAATTTGTGATATACTGTCACCACCTTGTTTTTCATGATAAAATTCCAAAACACGTTTGAGTTTTGTTTTTAATGATGATTTCAGCTTTGAGAGATTTGAGAACCTAAAACAAATAAATGATTATTGTTTTGAAAAAAAACTTTTTCACTTTAATGGTTTGTCATCATCACCAACTATATTTTCATCAACGTTTACACCACTTTGGAAAGCAAAATTTGGTGATATACTCTTGAAATGGAAAAAAATGCAGTTTAATCATTAAAATGAATAAATAGTTACTTCAGCTTTTATCAGCAGTTCGTTCACCCATAACATTATAGTAAAATCAAGTGTACAACCAAGTTGTGTGAACGAAAATTTAAATGAAGAACCTTTGGATCCATATGTTTCAATGGTTAAAATCTTTTTAAAAAATATATACAATTGCTTTTTAAAAAATCTTATTTTTTCTTACGTTATTTTTGAAGAGAATAATGTTTTTATTTGACAAATAAAATAATATATAAATCATTAGATAAATGAATTTATCTTGAATATAATGATGATTTACGTTCAGTAGAGTATTAAACGATGGATGTTGTTGATCAAGAGATGATGACTGAAGATGTAAATGAATGATTTCATCTTGAAATACAATCAACAAGCAACTATAGACACAATTTATCTGTTATAATTAACCTACTTTTGTAGTACAAGTAATCAATGATGCTCCAGGACGCCAATTCAAAGAAGTAAATACATTGTTGAATGCATAACTTAAACAAGATAGAAGAATAAATAAATTTAAAAGAAACAAATTGTTTTTCTTACACCAAATAAATACGATGACTGATACGATCAACAGCAACTAATGTATTATTTCGATATGTAATGATGAAATAGTTTCCATTTGGTGAATATTTGATCATATCAATATACTGAAATATAAGATGATTTTGTCTTTTAAAATATTATTTTAATGTAATAACAAACTTCTTCATTTGTATTGTTTTCATAAGCTTTCTCCATTCCAAAGTTATTTGTTTCGTAAAAATAAATGGAGTTTTTCGTTGGAATTGCCAATAACTAAATTAATAAATAAATGAAATAAATGTTCGTTCTGATGAGAATAAACATAGTTACATCTTCTACTAAATCCCAATCCATTTGACCATACGATTTTGTTGTGCTAAATTAATTTAATTCTTTTTAAAAAAATCAATGCATATATT